GGGGGGGGGGGGGTTGGTCACAGAGAGAGGGAGACACAGAATCCGAAACAGGCTCCAGGCTCCGAGCTGTCAGCACAGAGCCCGACGCGGGGCTCAAACCCACGGACTGTGAGATCATGACCTGAGCCGAAGTCGGACGCTTAACCGACCGAGCCACCCAGGCGGCCCTGTTTGTTTGTTTTTTTAATGTTTATTTATTTTTGAGACAGAGAGAGACAGAGCATGAGTCGGGGAGGGACAGAGAGAGAGGGAGACACAGAATCGGAAGCAGGCTCCAGGCTCGGAGCTGTCAGCACAGAGCCCGACGTGGGGCTGGAACTCACGGACTGTGAGATCATGACCTGAGCTGAAGTCGGACGCTCGACAGACTGAGCCACCCAGGTGCTCTCACAGGTTCTTAAACTTATGAAACTAGCAAAGATTTCTGAGTGAAAATTTCTATTGTTAGTGACAATGCAGTGAGCAGGCCAGCGTGTGACTCACTGGCCCTGGTCCCCTCGTTCCACACAGCCGGCTGCCTGGGGGTGGGGGGGGCCTCCGATTGTGGATTGACTCACACGGTCCAGGAACAGTTGTAAAAACCACAAACTAACCTGGGCTAAACTGAATCCGGTGACTGAATGATTGTGCGCCAGGGACAGTGGCGTTACTCCAACAATGCAAGACTGTTTCGTGGGGCAAGGTCAAGGCGTGTAATCGCCACATCGAGAGGACGAAGGGTGGCAAGTTGGTAACCCTCTTGCAAACGTAGGAAGGCGTTTCATAGAGTTGACGCCCGTTCACAATCACTGGTAAAGCTGCTGCCGGGAGAAGGAAGGCCAGTGGGTGTTTGTGCAGAAGTCCCGCCGTCCTTGACGGGCCCAGGGGTGACGGCGGGAGCGTGGCTCGCACCGCGTGTGCCCGCGTCGTGCCCGACGAGCTGTCATGAGGCAAGAACAACGAAAGGCAAAAGGATGAAAAACCGTCGTTTCCAGCGGTGTGATTTTGTGTTGAAGTTATCTGTAAAAATCAAAGATCACAAGCCCTAGAACCGGATTTCCAAGGGAGGGGAGGCCGCCGGGGGGCAAACGCTGAGGAGCCACGCGGTTCACAGCAGCGCACACACACCCCGGACCGGATCTCACGACAGGCCTTCAGGACCTCCACCCCCAAGCCGCGGAGCTTCCAGAGGAGGAGGAGGCCTGGATTCCCGGAGGGACCTGCTCCTTTGCGGGAGGAGAACCTGCTGCTCCTTGGGCCCATGGCCTCCATCCGAGGGCCGGCAGGCGCCCAGCACCGCTGCAAATCCGGCAGGTTCTCCGTGGGGGTGGCTCGCTGTGGACGTGTGAGCCACATGTAGACGTGTGAGCAGAGCACGTTCGCGAAGGAGAGCAGAGGGGGACATGCTTTTTCAGGTGCACTCGCTATAAGGCCACACAAGTAAGACGTGTGCCCTCGACAAAATGTGCAGAGGAGCTGAGGGAACGGCAGAGATGGGGGAGACGGGAGAGACGTAAGAGACAAGAGACAGGAGAAGGGAGAGACGGGAGACGGGCAGCACCAGGAGTGTGGGCCGAGCGGCCCTGCGGAAGGCGGGGAGGCCACGTCTAAACAGCCCCGGGGTAAACCCCTCTGGAGAACCCGCTGCCCTGGAAACAATTCGAGGCGGGGCACTTAGTCTCAGGCAAAACCCCACTGCTTCCAGAATAAAGCATGAGGGCATCTTCACCATCGATCGTGTGGGCAGGGAGCAGGGAGACGCCAGGGACAGCGAGGCCAGGACAGCGGCTGCGTGGGGAGGAAGCTCGCGGCACACATGTTCCGGAATGTTTCAAGCCGCCCTGCAGGTTGACGGGAAGGGGCAGAGCCTCCAGAGACAAGGACACTTGAGCAGGCATCTCCGAAGGAGGGAAGGAAGGGACAGCCCACCAGAGCTGAGCCTCCTGTGCGGTTCTCTTGGGGGGGGGGGGGGGGGGGCGCTGGGGTTCTGGAATGTTCTATGCCTTTGTCTGGGTGACTGTTACCCGGATGGGCCTGCTTTATGGAAGTTCATCAACCCATAAGACAGTAACAAATACACGTACGTACAAATACATTTATTTCAGGGAAAATGGACACCGCGGGGATGAGCCACATTCGGGAAATTTGCTATAATCACGGAAGATACTCCCAACACACTGAATACTTCTCGTGTTCCACATCAAACATGGCATCGGAAAGAAAAATTTAATAGAAGGTGAAAAAAATGAAATGAGTGAAACTGTACATTCAGTTTAAAATTTTTTGAATTTAATACAAGGGAAATAAAAATCATGCGCAGACAGTATAACTTCAAGCAGTGAGGCAGTGAGGGTGCGTGTGTCACTCACGCACGTGCACACTTATCCGGGTGACCCTCGGCCCTTGTGCACAGACCCTGCAGTAGAGATCCCACGTGCAACTTCTGGCATCTGAAATCTTCCCTCCGCGCCGTGTCCTGCTGCCTGGAAGCCTGACCGATGACACAAGCAGCGGATGGACACGTGTCCTGTGATTTACATGTCCCCTGTCCCCTGTTCGTACAACAGAGCAGACCAGCCGAGTTAGGAGAATACGTTCATCGTCCTGTCCCGCGTCTATCAGGACCCGGAGTGTCCCGGGGCGGCTGGTGGGCCGTGGGGGGTCCTGGGGTCCACGGAACAAGGGGAGGGGACGCTTAGCTCATCCGCCGTGGGGGGCTGAAAACGCTCAGGGGCCTTTACCTTCTTTTGTAAAAGAAGTTTTTGGGCAAGCGTGGCGGAGGGGCTGCGGTCTGAGGTGGGGAGGGGGGGGCGGGAGGGGCTCCACTTCGGGGTCCTCGCCGGTCCCACGACAAACCTCCGTTTGCTCACAACGCGCCCTCATTTTTGTTGGGCTTCGAGGGAGGTGTCCACCCCGTGCAGCCGAGGCTGGGGCCGTCACTTTTCAGGCCCCGGGACCCGGCACCCGGACAGGGGTCGGGAGGCGGGGATGCTTTTAGCGCCTCAGTCTGTTTCCAACCTCGCCCGCAGTAAAAGCAAAGGCTCATCGGGTCGGTTCACCTGTTCACCGGAACTGCCTGGCACTCGCTGCCACGAAGACCACTGAGCGTGGCTGCGGGGCTCCCGTGGCCCCTGGGCAAGCGAAGCTGGGGACGGGGGGCCCAGGTGCCTGTCCGGCCACCTCCCTGGATGCACCCATCTGGGGACAGCCGCGGGACCCCTTCATCTGGCCAACCGTGAGAGCCCAGGCAGCCTCGGGCCTTCGGGGGAAGAGAGAAGAGAAGCGGTGAGAGAAACAGCAGGATGAACCGCACCTCGGAAGGGAATGATGCCACGAACCAGGGCAGGAAAGCAGAGAGGGGAGCAGAGGGGCGGGCAACGGGCAGCCCTGTGTGCTCACGCCACCGCTTGACGGTGGGGGACCGTGGCCTGGCGGACGCTGCAGGGAGCCGGGCAGGGGGAGCATCCAGAGCGCCAAGGCCCTGGGGCGGATGTGGGCCCGGTGGGCTGCCGCGGGGGGACAGGGTCGGGGTCAAGGCGGGTCGGGCGGGACTCCTGGCACTGAGACCCTTGGCCTCAGAGGGCAGGAGCTGATTCTAGGGGGGCAGGAGGGGGAAAGAGGGGGCAGGAGGGAGCAGGGGGAGCGGGGGGAGGCAGGGGAGCACGAGGGCCCGCAGCCTCACGGGGGCCGTGGCAGAAGCCCCCCCACCTCATGCTGGGTCTATGTCTGTGCCCCGCATTCCACACCCCAATTCCGGCCCCCCACCTAGGAGGGCAGAGCCCGGAGAGCCCGTGGGTGGCACCCGGGCACCCGGCCTCGGGGGCACTCCGCTGCACCCCAGGGCAGGGCAGAAAGTACTGCTTTGCTGCGGGGCCCAAGCAAGCTCTGGGGCCTGGCTGGAGCCCCTGTCCCTGTTGCGGGGACCCTGGTTGCTCAGGCCTAGCTCTCGGGCACCTGGCCTTCTCTCGCCCACGTACACTTTCCAGATATTTTCCCGGCAGATAGCTGTGGAGTTGGCTACCGCGATCACGTTTTACAGACGGGGAAGCTGGGGCTCAGAGCCCCGAGACCTGATCTGGGGCTGAGGCTCGGTTGCAGGGGTGGGGGCCTTGGCCGCCACAGGGAAGGCGGTCCGGGTCTGGGTTCCTGTGGAAGCTTCCAGAGAGAGCTGCCCGGAGGAAGCCCTAGGTACACCCCTCAGGGGGGCCTGTGGTGGGGCGGGGACCCTCCCCCACACCAGGGCTCCTGTGGGGAGGGGGCCCCACTCCGGACACACCCAGGACAGAGCCCTGGGCTGCTCCCCACCTCAGCCCAGACTCCTCTCCCTCGCTGGCCCTCGGGGTCCAGGTAGCACCTCCGCCCTGTGTCCAGACCATCCGCCATCCCTGTCCCCACCCCTTGGACCTGGGCCAGCCTGGGGCACCTCTTTCCTCCCTGTTTCTCTGTTCCTCTGTCTCTGTCTCTCCCTCTGTCTCTGTCTCTGTTCCTGTGTCTCTCCCTCTGTCTCTGTCTCTCCCTCTGTCTCTGTCTCTCCCT